GATAACCATTGATTTTTTTTGTATGATTATTTTATGAAAAATACTACATCAAGAGATACGTGATGATAAAATGTTACGGTAAAAGTCACATAGTTATAGTACATATAATCACATGTATGCATTTAAGGAGATACTTGCTCATATAGTTCAGACTAAAAAATCATTGTATAGTATGAATAGGAAGGATATGCATTTAACATTAAGTTCTGAACTTAAAATTAGACTAGAGAATACATTTGGATAGGATGTACACTTATAGAAAGTGTATTTATAGAGAGTTGACTGTAGTTATCAAAATTATTAATAAATGACTTTAAATTGTCTAAATTAAAGTTACTATAAGATTAAATAATAAAAATTAGTTCTAGTTTTGCTCTTTTTTGATTTTATTAATTGTTACTAATTTTTTTTCTCTTTTACTTTTAAGTTTGGCATATTAAAATATAACTCTAAAAACATTCATGTCTAAAACACAATTAAAAGATCAAAATTAATTTCTACTTTATTTTTTTGATTATATTGATCACTACTAAACTTCTTTTTATTTTATCCTATTTTTTAGATTTAGCATATTGAAATAGAACTTTATAAACATTTACTATTAAACATAAAATCAGAGATTAAGATTAGTTTTTACTTTGCTTTTTTTTGATTTTATTAATCATTATTAATTTATTTTTATTCTTTCCTATTTTTAAGTTCAAATATTAAAATAGAGTTTTGAGAACATTTATGCTTAAAAATAAGATTAGAGATCAAAATTAATTTTTTTATTTTTCAATATTTTATTTTTTTTTTATTTTTTTTGCTTTGATTTTATTTATTGATTAATAAAATTAAAGTCTTATAGAATGATAATATTTTAGTACTATAATTATACATATATCTACTCAATAATTAAATCAATGCTCATTAGTTTTTGCAATATTTTTTTAGTTAAAATTATTCTAATTTTAAATAATACACATATATATACTAACTATTATATAATATTATAAAAAAATCAAAATATCATGTAATCCTAATAAATTATATAATGCAATAATTTTCACCTTCAGTGATAAATAAAATTACTCTTATATTTTATTTAATAATTATAAATTTAGTAGTATAATAAATTAATTATATAAAATTATATAAAAAATTATATATAAATTGTAAATATAAATTATATATCAAATATACTGTTAAATGGAATAACTCTTGAACTAATGATCAATATTTTAATAGAAATAGTATCATTTGAACTATCTTGATGAGAACTTTTCAACGAATATAAGCTAGACCTAATTGGACTAATATTTAGTGAGATATTTCAAGAAGAATGATTCTATAAATTATTACCAAATGGAGCCATAAATCCTTAATGCAAATTAGCGATTGATCGACTGGAATTACGAAATTATGAAAACTATCATAATGATAAAAATGATGAAAATGACAATAACATCATTAACAAAATTAAATATATTAGAACTGATGAGCTCACTCTCTCCAATACCCGAAAATTTAGAAAAAACAAAAAAAAAATTTATTTTTCAAAGAAAACTTTTATTTTTATTAAAAACTTTATCTATACAACATGACTCTTGATATTTTCAAACACCTTTTTACTCAAGAAGTCTTAAACTTCTAAAAACTGAAGTCTTATATTACACCAGAACTTAAAAAATGAGATTTTGCTATTGTGAAATTTCTATCGTATAAAATACCAGAAGTCTTTTGGCTTGTTAAAAAATTAAATGAAGAATACTTAAAAACTTTTTCAGCAGAATACACTGCATAAGAAATTTTCTTCAACAACAATTTTATTGATAATCTAGCAAGGTCTTATGCTTATAACTTACACAAAACTGGAGCAAGTGATCATGAAACTAACAATACTAAAGATATTATTTTGAATACTATTGAAACAGCTCTTCCATATAACAAACCCAAAGATATCATTTCGCTTCAAGATGATGAGGAAATCTCTTCACAAATGGATACATTAAATGATGATAATATATCAACAAATATGAATAATACAAGACACGTTAATCTTTCTTCCTTTTCATCAACATCTAATGTACAACATTCTTCGTCTAATAATCAGACCAAAGTAACAAATATAAATCAAAACAAACTGGACAACAAAAAATCTTATGCGTCAGTCACAAAATAACCTAAACAAGTTATTTACGCATCTGCAGATCTTATCAACAATAATAATAATATTAACGCATCTTTATATAACCTAAATAAAACATTACACAAAGTTACAAGTTATACAAGAATAAACTATAATACACAATGAAAAACACATTTCACATTATCAAATCCAATAATAAAAGAAATGTTTTTGTATCGTTCCTAGCTTTTGCTATGCCAGGAGATAATCAGATAGAGAAATTGGATTTTATTTCCTCCCTTTTTTCTTAAAAACCAGGCTTTGTCAATATAGATTAGAAATTTCATAATGGCAATGCTAATATTTTCATAAAATTTAACAACTGAAAATTATTATTAGATGCAATAGATGATGCTTTAATCAATCACCCTGAGTTTCCTTTTAATTTGATCAATAAAGCTCCACTTAGCATCCAACACTATAATAACCCTATTTACAAACTTAAATCTGTCTCTGGTGACATCACACAAAATCACATAAATAGAGCCCTAACATATTTTAGATCCATCATTTCCATAATTGACAAATATAGAAACAAATACAACTCTACATATGACGTTATTGTCTCTTTTAGAAAAATCAGAAAATTCTATTAACTAAATGCAGCTTAGACACAAAACATAAATAGACACATCATTAGATGTGCTCACATCGATACATCAGCAAAGGAACTAAAAGATATAAATAGATATGTTGCTAGTTTTAAAGGGTTCAAAAACAAAACTTCACCTGCAGAAGCTTTTCGCATACTAAGGACATTTAACGTAAGATCATATAATTTTCATAACAATATTGCTTATGCCACTTTTACATCTGAAAAAAATATGAGTTCAGCCTGTTCACAACAAATTTTACATAATAGGTACAAATTGGATGGCAGACCCAGAATTCTCAACAGAAGATACAATCAACAAGAAGTACTTCAACCACCAATGAACATTTCCTGTAGGAATTCTCTTAGCAATCACAGAATTAATAATCGACCTTTTCCCTCTAATACTAGGAATGAAAAAGATGCTAGGTCTTCCTCTTCGAGTAGCTCACAAAACACAACAACGTTTAACAACAACAACAGCAATAACAATTCCAATTCACTAGAATTAATTCTAAACTCCAAGAATTAGACTCGATTAAATCTCATCTGGTCAAATTAGATTCTCAATTTCTTGTATTCACCAATAATAATAGGCATATAACTCACTGCTTATAATATACTCCATACTAGATGAATCACAGATGAATAGTATTCCTACTAATAACCAAAATACTTCTTTTATTAACAGTAATATTGACCTCTTCTTAAATAACCAAGTTGCTCAATTTCATGAAAATAGACAAAATAATATTAATAGAATTAACAAAAACATTTCTCATTTAGATGATATTTTATCAAATAATATAATCAAAAGAGATATACTTACTTTTGCTACCCACAATATTAGAGGAATAAATGATTCTACAGATCTAATTAAATCCTTTCAAATCATAGAACACTTTACACTATAGATGAGGGACGAAACCCCTTAATAACAGTCGAAACTTAGACAAAACTATATTAAAATCATAATAAGGGATACGACGAAACCCATTTGATATGACGAAAGCCAAAACTGTCAAAACTATATTAAAAACATAGAAAAGGGTATGACGAAATTATTTTGAGGAGGTTTCGGCAAGCATCAATACTTTACATATAACAAAGTTGATTTTATTAGTCTTACAGAAATATATCACAAATTATCAATACTCTACAAACACAAACACAATCAATATTTTACTACTTTCTGGAGCCAACCTAACTCATCACAACCTTATGCAGGAGTTGATCTTTTAATCTCTAAAAAAATAGGATAAACACATTACATCCACTTTCACATAAAACCCAAGATTACTTTATGTTGACTTGTATTTAAAAGAACATACCAAAATTAGAATAATTAGCTGCTATATACATACCAATATTAAAGACTCCAAAGATAGACATGATTGATGAATCCTTTAAAAACAGATTCTTAATATACTTGATGAATGCAACAAACAACAATTTTATATAATCTTAATGGAAGATCTCAACATAAATATTAATGAATATTACAAATATCTTAAGCTCAATAAAATCTTAGTTGAAGATTTAATTTAGTTGAAAGGCTATCACTCAGAAACTATATAGATTTACAATTATGCAGCAACAATAATATCCTTCCTATATTTTTTCCTTCACAAGTTTGACTTCACGTCATATACTAAAAAGATTAAATGGTATTTTTACCTCATCAGAATTTTTTGCAGATCTCCTTTATTATAGTGTTTCAAAGTCAGTCATTTATCAATCTGATCATAAGATTGTTATTACATATTTTACTAATCCTATTATGAAATAAGAGGCTCAAACAAGACACAATAAAATGAAAAGGAGGAAATTTGACTTCAACACCATGATTAAATAAAAATAGAACCTGTTTGCTAAAGCTACAGATATTCAATTCAAAAAACATACATATTCACTGATCTGTGAAATGAAGAGTTGTACCATGAATATGGTCAATATATGATGATCATAGTCTATATTATAATCAGACTTTGGATACACCCATTTACTATTTTATTTTTATTATTTTAGTATAATTAATAATTAATAATTTGAATTTGTAGAATTATAATTATTTATTAGCATTTAATTAAAGAATATTTATTTGTTATTTTAATAAGATTAATGAAGCAAAAACATGAAAATTTTTTAATATTACACAAAAATAAATAGTGGAATAAAAATTAAAATGTCACGTAGTTATGTGAAAGATTGTGAGATTATCATTTTTTTTATAAAATAATGTCGTCAAATACAGAAGATCAAGTGATAAAGAAAATATTAAAAGTAAATTTCAAATCGAAGAAGAATCTATCTATCTATCAGATAATAATATTATATATCGAGAATGCATAAATAAAGTTACTAAATGTAGCTTTAATTATATTATTATAAAAGAAGGAATATATCCTAATAGTGTCTTTACAACCAAAAAACAAAAGCCAACTAATTTGACGAGTAGCAGAATTAATAATATTAAAAGAAGACCTGCTCAACAGTTCAAAATTCTACATGGTTATATTGTGGAAACAACTTGGGTTGGGCTGCTAAAAAAAGAACTGTCTGTTGTAAAATTGAATACATTAATGCAATACCTCACTTTCGAATCAAGTATGGTTCTAATTTTCAACATGTTATTTCTTTAACTCAATCCACATCAAATGCAACACTTAAATATGAACAAGTAAATATTTATCATGATACATTTATTAGCTTATATATTATTTAATTATTTAATTAACCTATTTATTTTAGATTTTAAATCCAGAAACTAAAGCTATTATTTCAGAATCTCTTTTATTTGGATTGCAATTAGACAGTGTACGTAAAGTACGTAAATTAAGAAAAAGAGAAAATTTAATCAAACTAGCTCTCAACTGTACTCCTTTGATGCTTGAAAAATATGCTAAAAAAATTGCAACAAAAGTACAATCTAATTTCAAAAAAGATGTTAAGAAAATTTATTACAAATCTGATCAAATTGTATTAAAGAATATTGAATTTTCTGTTAATGAAAATGATTATTTTCAAGTAAATTTTGGTTCTGAAGATGAAGCTAATAAAGCCCACCAACTCTAATCTATAGTAAAAGTCATTAATCAAGATCAAATTCCTAGAGATTTTTACAGAGACTAGCGGCTGTTGAAATTCATTTGACACGTGAATATGCTATCTCTAATGAACATATTACAATTACCAATCATATGAACTAACTAATCAAAATATCATTAATTGATATAAGCAAGTAAAATGAATTAGAAGAAATCATAGAAATAAATGAACCAGATATTATAAATCCTGAAATTACACAAAAAGTTATTAATTCAATAGGAATAGGTATTCATCAAAGTGCAAAAGATATTTTTTGCTATATTATTCCTTAATTAAAAATATAAAAGTATTAGAATTATCAGATCTAATTATTCATTTGCGTATTTCTGGTGATAGAAAAAATGTTAAGCGTAAAATAAAATATGTTGTGGTAACATTTATGATTTTAAATCATGAAAAACGTCATTATCATGCAGATTATTATTATACTACAATATTATATCCTAAAACTGAAAACTATAATTCATTAAAATTTGTATTAAATCCCTTTCTTGATGAATTGCAATCTCTTAAAGAAGATGGATTAGAAGTAGCTGGGATTTTATGAAATTTTGAATTGTATTTTAGTGCAGATTGGAAATTTTTAACAATTTGTCTTGGATTAAATGGTCCTATATCTAAGTATTTTTGTCTTTGGTGCCTATATTCAAAAAATCAACATAGTGATTTAAACAAAGATTGACATATTGAAAAAACTATGAAGCAGCTTATAACAAAATATGATGATATTAATAGTCATATTCACCCACCTTTTTTTAATATGATTCCTATTGATCATATAATTTTTGATAAATTACATGTTTTATTACGAGTTACAAATCGTCTTTAGGAATTAATGTTAGCTGAAATCAAAGAATATGATTTATTTAATAATTTAATATAAAATGTGATTATGAAAGAGATACAATGATTGAAAATATCTTTTTACTTTTGGAAAAATAAAGAATCTTATGATTGAAAATATACATCACTTACTGGAGATGATAAAGAAAAGGTTTTAAGATTTTTTAATTTAAAATTACTATTTAGACTACTTTGAGCACAGAAAATTCGAAATCTTTGGGATGGATTTATCAAATATATTATGCAATTTGAAATAAAAGTACTGATCTATTATAACTAAAGTAACAAGCATTTGAATAGCTATCTTTATTTCTTACTCCATTACAAGGGGATCCTACTGATTCAAGAAATTTCATACAAGGATTATATATGCCAAGTCAAGTAATACCTTATATATATGCATTAATATATCATGGATAGAAACTTTTAAAAAAACATCAAAAATGGGGTCTTAAAGCATTTTCTTATTCTGCAATAGAAAAAAAAATCACAATCAAGTTTCAACATTTTTTTAAAAAACTCTTAAAAATGGAGGTGGATTAAAAAGAAAACCTGCAATACAAGAAATTCTTGAATATGAAAGTCATACACTTTATTTTACATACAACCTATTGTCTGAGTCTAAAAAATTAAAAGATTTCATATTAAATAAAATTTATATGTGATTTACAATTATCAGTAATTGAATTATTAATATTAATAAAGTTTTATTTATTCTTTATACATATTAATTTCTATACATATTTGATTCTTGTTTATTTTCTATATAATTAAATGTAAAATTTTTTTTGTTATTTCTACTTTATAAAATAAACAAACTTGTGATTGCGCAATATAAAATTAAAGTAGTTATATCCTGCCATGTTTATAATCCCATTAACTTCTTTAAATTTTTTTTTCCATTCAATTAAAACTTCTTCTCGCACAAATTGTGGTCACCTAATTTTAGTTATTTTATTTTTTTCAATTGATGATTGTAATAATTGTTCAAGAGAATCCACTTTCTCCAATTAGTTTTGAGAGTCAGAAGAATTCTATAGAACTGGATCCAAACATACAACATAAGTTTGTTGATTTTGTGAATAAACCTTTTTTCCCCATTGATTTGAATTTAAAATTTCACCTAAAACTTGATACGTGTCGTGATCTCAAAATATACATCTATAAGTTTTTTTTTGCTTTAGAATAATAGTGAATATTACCAGCAAAAATAGAAAAAAAGAGACTTTCAGGACATGGTATAAAAATTGATTTCTTTCCCATAGATCTAAAATTCAAAAATAGCTTTTTATGTACTTATGCAACCAAGATTTATTTAAATTCTATTATAGTATTAAATGGTAGCTCATCAAGTCCTTATTGCCATTGATTATATTTTTGTACATTACGTTTGTGTTATGTTAAACCTTTTAAGCTCTTGAATTCTCTTCCACAAGTAGAGCAAAGAAAGTCATTATTAGTTAGAGTATGAGAAAACGTTGCTAACGGTATATATGTTGTATTTTACAACTTATTATGTACTAAAATAAACATTAAATTATAGTAATAACTGAATTTTACATCATAACAATACTTATTTCTTACCCAAAAAGTTCAATGAATTTTTGAAGTGAGTAATGGGTTTTTACCTATAGTTTTGTTAATTGTTGTTGTTTTTTAGGTGTTTCAAATAGTCAGTTGAGATCATTCGGCATGTTACAGTCAAATATTTTAGTGATACAAATGACCATTTTTAGGGATTAAATTTTGTGTCAAAATCTGTAGATCAGCAGATATGAATATGAACAAACTCCTCTTTTTATCCTCATCTTTTTCTAATATGAATCATATTTGAGAACAATTAAGAAACACTATTATAACTGCTACTATAAAAAACATTTCTTTTAAATAAGTTCATGTAGATCAAAAAACTCCTAAACCAAAAGATCTGGTCATATACTATAATCACATGAAACTCATTAATAAAATTGTTCTCAAATTCAGAGTTGCAAGAGTGAACTTAAAAACTTAACCTATTGGAGACGAATAGACAGTTGATCTCAATATTATCAAAATAGTTACATATTCAGCAAAATTACCATTTTTTCTCCTACCTGATACTTTAACCAAAAACAATATCAAGGATGCTAGAAAATCCTTATTAACAATGTATCACAATCTCAAAGCGCTATTCAGAATTGAAGAAACTAATATTTTAAATCAGAGAATCAAGTATTTTATTGACTAATGTTGTCTTCAATATGAATCTAACCCAAGAAAAATGATCCAATCAACTCTAAGAAGATCTAAAAAGACAATTGTAGTAGACAGACTAATGGTCAAGAATATAGAAGATCAACTCGTCTTAATTAATGATCCTGATTTAATTAAACAGTATATTAATAAGCATTTCCAAAACTATGCTATTTCTGACACACCTACTTCCCTCTTTTTAGAAGATGGATAGTTCAATATCAACCAAAAGACTACGTGAACGAAAGATAGTTTGATAATATTATGCAACCTCCATCATAGAAGAATGGTCCTCAGTTATATTATAACTTCCTAATAATAAAACTGCTGGTCTAACATGAATTCACAACGAAATGATAAAGCACTTAGGCTCTAACACACATTGTCTCCTCTGGAAATTAATCAAAATTTATTTTGAACTTGGTGACATTCCATCTAAATGGAAAATTGCATACGTCTACCTAATTTCTAAACCTGTAGAATAGAATTGTGACATCACAAAAACCCATCCCATTACTTTATTAGAGATTACTAGAAAAGCTTTTGTCAAAATAATTACTAATCGCCTTTCAAAGTTTCTCACTAAACACAACATATTAAAAGGTAATAACTATGCTGATCTTTCTGGTAGCTCGACAGAAGATCCTATAAAGATAATGAATCTGATCATTGAAGATGCGATAGAAAATAAAAAAGATTTATGGATTCTCTTACAAGACTTATCTAAAGCTTATAATTGAGTAGATCTTAATATTTTAAAACTTGTTCTTAAACAAATCAAAATTTCAAAAAACTGCATCTCTTACTTAATAAATTTATTTACAAACAAGAAAAATGCAGTTTTTACAAAAGATGACCTCTTAGACTTTTATGATGTGAAAATTGAAATTGACCAAGAAGAAGTTATATTACCATTATTATGTTGTATATATTTTGATCCTCTTTTGTGTAAGATAGATAGTCTAAGAAAAGGTTATATCATAGAACATTCTTGGATCTCTGATGTCAAACACATGATTCCTTCCTCTTTGTCTGAACAAATTTCAGCCTTAGGATATATAGATGACTCAAATTGGCTAGCACACTTAAAGGAAGACTTGAAAAATATATTAGAAATAGTTGACGAATTTTACTCTATAACTAAAGCTGCTATAAATAAATCTAAATCACAGTTGCTAATAAATACAGTCATGACCTTATAATTAATACATATCAAATTCAGATTTAGCATAATATACATCAAACCAGAACTTGGATTTATAAGATTTTAGGAGTCTGGATTAACATATTCAATTTGAAACGTTTTGTCAAGAAATAAATCAAAGACACTATTACTAAATTTACCACCATCCTCAAATCTAAACCCCTTACCAATAAACAACTTTGTTACATTCTTAATATGATACTTTTTCCATTACTAGAATATAGATTACAGACTACACCATTATTCTTTAATGAATATAATCAAATTTCTGCTCTGATATAAAGAATTGTAAAACATAATTTGTCGATGACCATAACCTCCTCTAACTGCCTATTCAAAGGAAGTGTATTTTATAATTTAAATGACCTCTAGATATAATAATTAAAATTATACTCTACAGCACTTCTTTATCAATTCAACTTAATATCCACATATAAACATATTTCATTAATCTGACTGTTCTAATTAAATCTCAACATTTTTTACACATATCTCCTCTTCAACATTGGGTCTAACCTTTTAATACTAAATCTTATAGAAATATTATTGGAGCCACATTAAGTTTACTAAATTATGGGAAGATTGGCATCTCTTACAATACATATCAATCTCTATTTAATGAAATTAAAGGCGGATCTTTATCTCTCTCACTTATATTCACTACTAATGAATTAAAGAAATACTATAA